TTAGCTTTTGTGTCTCGACTATGATGGCTTCTTGTCTTTTGTTAAGTCTCAATTATACCTCTTTTTGGACAAGACTTAATGAACAATTCTACTCATTCTTTGAACCACTGCAATATAATTGTTCTCTTTTTGATCCATTCTGTGTGAAGATATAACTAACCCAAATTTAGCTAACAATACCTTAATACACCTCATTTTTGTGCAGGTATTGAGCTAGAGACTTGAGGATTGAAGACCCATAGGATTGGAAATCTAAGAAGCTAAGGAGCATAAAAGAGTGATTGCGCCGGGCGCAAGATGACCCGCGCCAGGCTTGAGAAGAACAGAGTGTCTCATCTATGCAAGCCATATATGCACCGGGCGCGAGACTACCCGCGCCGGGCGTGATCGAGATAGAGAGTACCTGAAACTCTCTGGAAGACATTGCGCCGGGCGTGTACTGAGGCAGAAAATGCTTACCTTCCCTGGAAGGCCCTGCGCCGGGCGTGAAGACTTATGCGCCAGGCGCGAAACCCTAATCTGACTCCCCAAGCTCCTATTTGAAGACATTTTCGAGGGTTTCTTCCTCACTCACACATTGGGCGCGTTTTAGGAGCTGTGGAAGGGATTCCCGGAGCTTGGAGTCGTTCGTGTGTGGGTCTTTCCTTCGGTTCTTCATTCTCTCTTCATCTTTATTTTGTGTTTACCCTCATTTTTTTGAGTGGTTCTACCCATTTTTGTGGGGTTAGATGTAACCAACGTACTCTATTGTAATCCTTACGTTTTAATGATATATATACATGTTGTTTCATTCATTGTTGTGTATGTTTCTATTCTTAATGCTTGCCTTGGATTGATTCTCCTTGCACGATATAGGTTCCATTGGGTATTGGAAAATAACCTTTGAAACTAGCTCTGAAACAAATGCCTAGTGGGAAATGTATTTAGGAATGGAGCTTGGCCTATTAGTAGTCTTAAACCCTAGCCTGTAATGCGGGTGTAGATATTGGATACTCAAGGAATTGATATTCAATATCCGCACCTAGGCTCTTGCTCTAAGGGATTAGGTTTGAGTAAACTCATGGGTTGACTAAGCAATGTTTGTAACAAAAGATTAAGGATTCATTAGTGTAATGTTTGGTGAAATCTGACCCCACAATCTCACAAAACCATAATACCATTTCTATCCCTTTTCCACACACAAACCAATATTTTTTATAGTTAACATTCCAGTAGTCATGATCTTCAATTAATCTTCACATGACAACTACAAATTGGAATTATTCTTTAGTCACGAATAGTTAATAAATGCTTATTTTACCTACTAATCCCTATGGATACGATAATTTTACTACTTGAACGGCCGGTATACTTGCCGTGTTTGAGACCGTTGATATAGCACAAGTGATTTAAAGTGATAACAAAAATAGTTTTAACGGAAATCTCAACATCTTTCTCCGCCGACCTTTCATTTCCTCTGAGCCACTGGTTTTGCCTCTTTGTGGATTACCAATATGTGACAAATGAGGTTAGGGTTTATACCTGGCATGTCGGCACTAGACCACGCGAATAGGTCGGCATTTTTGGAGATATCGGCTACGAGTTGTTGTTGCAGTTCCGGGCTCAGATGTTGACTTATTTTGGTGCATTGCCTGGGGAGTTTTTTGATTTGAAGATCAGCTAGCTCGTCAATTGGGCTTGGTCGGTTGTCATGGGACTCCGACCTTGGATCCAGGTCAATAATGTCGGCTTGAGTTATGTGAGTGATAGTGGGGGAGTCACCTCGGCGTTGCTCCTCTGCTGGGGACGGTGCCTTTAAACTTTTAGCATAGCATTGCCGAGCTGTTCTTTGGTTTGCCTTGATCAAGATTATCTGGTCGTTTCCTCCTGGGAATTTCATCATTAGATGCGGGGTAGACACCATAGCTCCGAGTTGGTTTAAACTCGGTCTTCCTATGATGATGTTGTATGATGTGTTGGCACCGACAAGGAGGTATTTGACCATGGTTCTTCTTAAGTTAGGAGGTGTCCCAAAGGTTGTTAGCAGCTCTATGTATCCCCGAGTGTGGACTCGCTCCCTTGCAAAACTGACTAAGGGTTCTATGTGAGGTTGAATTCTATCCTTAGGAATGTCGGCTAGTATAGGACGTCTGCCGAGCTTCCTTGGTCGATTAGTGTCTTGTGAACCTCCCAGTTAGCTACCTCCACCGCAATGACGATGGGGTTGTCCTGGTTTGGGCAGACGCCAACATAGTCGTCATCCGTGAAGGTGATGGGTGGCGTGTTGCGATGTGGGGCTGAGGTGTCTGCATGGACATTGTTGATGCTTCGTAAGTGTCTTGTGCGCGCTGAGCTACTAGAGCCACCCCTTGCGAATCCTTCTACAATTGTATTGATGACTCCACGCAAGGGAGTCATTCCTGTGTCATGATGACTTACCTCAGCCTGAACTGCTCCGTCGATGTTTTGCTAGGATCTGGAAGCCTGGTTTGCTCGAGCATCGGAGCCTCGATCTTGTCCTCGTCCTCGTCCGTGTCCATGGTAGCCTCCCATGTGAGATTTGTTGCCGTTGGACGTATTATCTGAGGTACCCTCCTTGGACGAGTTCCTCGATGCGGTCCCTGAGTGTGCGACATTCCTCGGTTGTGTAACCATAGTTTCTACGGTATTGGCAATGCTTGGATTTGTCTGCACTACTAGGGTTATGCCCGGGTGGTGGCAGGGTAATTAGGTCGATGTTACTGGCCTCCTCCAGTATGTGTACTCGGGGCGCATTCAAGGGAGTGTATAAGTCGTACTTCCCGCCTTTGTTCGGCCTGGTCTTTTTGAATTGGCTGTCGTTGGAGACTCTCATCTTATCTTTGTGGCCGTGGTCTTGCTTCCCTTGTGGATTCCCACGGACTTGGTTTCAGAAAGCCGTGTGCTCTTCCATCTGAATGTACCCAGCAGCTCGGGCACGAAGCTCGTCCATGTCTGGAGGAGGTCGCCGACAAAGGCTGTCGGCGAAGGGACCCGGCTTAAGCACCATGAGCATGGCGTGTAGGGCGACCTCAAGGTTTAGGTTGCGGATCTTGATGGCGATGTTGGCAAATCGCTCCATGAATTTGTGTAGCGGCTCGTCTTCACCTTGCCTAAGGTTGGCTAAGGCAGCCGAGGTGATGTGGTGGGGTCGGCTTGTGGCATACTGTGCCATAAATTGCTTAACCAAGGCGTCAAAGTTATTGATAGACCCTGGTGGTAGTTGGGTATACCAAGCGAGTGCCAATCCTTTTAGTGAGGTCGGGAAGACCCAACACAAGATGGAGTCGTCGTTGGTGTAGAGGTTCAGCTGGGTGATGACATAGAGATCTATGTGCTCGTCAGGATCGGTGGACCCGTCATATCAGTCGATGTTCAGGGGTTTCCAGCCGAAGGGGAGAGGTGTCTCCATGATGCTGTCCACGAAGGGGTGGCAGCGGACATTGGCCCGTTGTGACGGAGCCAAGGTTGGTGCATTGCTGACCTCCTGATTCGATCTTTGCGTCGGTGCACGTGACCGATGTGTCGCTGATCTGTGAGTGGCTATCTTCGGCGTTGTCGGTGGTGGAGAGACCGATTGGTGCTCCTCCTCGTGCTGGTTGCTTGGTTGAGGAGGTACATGCGGGGTCCGTTGATGGAGTTGAGCACGAATGCGCTCGTTCTCTGCCCATAGCGTCGCTAGGTCAGCTTGATGGCGTGTACGCATATTTTCCAAGTCGGCGGTGTTCCGCTGCTACATCTGTTCAACCTGTTTGATCAATCGTCGTAAGGTTTCTTCTGCTTCCATCCTGGGTGCTTATTCTGCTTCGTTTGTTGCTCTTCTACTATGGCTTCGGGTGAAAACCATAAGCGTGGTCGATAAGACAATTCCTGATCGGCCCCATGATGGGCGTCAAATGTTCTTACCGGAGATCAGTCGAGCAAGACGATTTGCTGGACAAGATTGGTGAGCCTTCCTTGCTGGGTATGTCGGCTGCTCCGAAGTGGGGGTGGTACCTGCAAAAGAGACTCCGATGCTAAAGTTAGTGTTTGATAGTATAAGCGTCTCATATATATAGTACACATACCTTGATGTCAATTAAGATTTTTCTCTTGGACGAGGATAAGGTTGACCTGGGCTCGAGATTGGTCACGACCCATTTAGATAGTAGGTCTTTGCTTAGCCCGATATCATGTAACGCCTATTCAATGTCATGCGGTGTTTGGGCACCAAGCTTGAGCTCGGTGTCTGATATGAATAGTACAGTATTTATTAAAAAAAAGAGTATTTTCTTTATATTAGTATATAGATAAATGAATCTACCAAAAAAAAAGTATATAGATAAATGTGTCATCCCAATTAAACTTTCTACTGAACAATGTCTTTTGCCCAAATTGACGACCACTACAAGAAAAATGCCAATTTCCGACAGAAATTTCTGACGGAAACAAGTAAATTTTTGACAGAATTTGGTATTTCCAACGGATTTTCGACGGATTTAAATCCGTCGGAAAAAGTGTTGTAAAAAAAAAATCCGTCAGAAATTTCCGACAGAAAATTCTGTCGGAAACATCCGTCAGAAATTTTCGACAAAAGTATCTGTCAGAAATTTCTCACAGAATTTCCGTCAGAAATGTCCTCAAGAAATTTTCGACGGAATTTCCGTCAGAAATTTGTGGGGGGACATTTTCGACAGAAATTCCGTGAGAAATTTCTGAAAAAATTTCCGACGGAAAATCTGTCGAAAATCTTCACTCGAAATTTCCGACAGAATTTCCGTCGGAAATTTTTTCCAGAAATTCCGTCGAAAATTAATATTTTAAATTTTAAATAAATTTCTTAATATAAGTAACTGACATTGATTTTTACCTGTTTAACAAATATATATATGTATAGATTGCAGAAGCTTCATCAAAATAAATTTAAAAGATAATAGTAATGTTCATAATAATAAAACAGTTCATAATTCAAACATCATATATAGTTAATTCAAATACATTAATTAATATTTTTCTAATACTAACTAATAATCTTCATAATTAGGAGAGTCTTCTTGATTTTTGTCTTGGTCATCTTCTTGTTGGTTTTGATGTTGTTCCCCATTTTGTTGATCTAGGTTCATATTTTGTTGTTGAGAAATATTTTGAATGACAGTTTGTGCTTCTGTGGGTAAGAATTGTAAGACAATTGATTGAAACTGTTGCAACTGACGAATAACCGCATCATTTTCTGCAAGTCGTTGTTCATTTTTTGCAAGTCGTTGTTTCAACTGAACAATATCTTCTGTGTCATGTGAACTGCTACAAGATGCTTTCCTTTTAAGATTGACGTCAATGCGACTGCTCTCTGTATCTTTTAAATGACGAGCAAGGTCTCCAGCTCCATACAGTCGCCCCTTAGTGGTTATGCCACCAACTGCATCAGACCAACACTTAGACCTAATTGTATCCTCTAAACCAGGGTCCATAAGATGTGATTCATCAACAGATGATGTAGCCTCAGACATAGCTTGAGAAAATTTATTAACAAAATCTTCCTGTTATTCAACAAAGGCATTGTTTTACTAATTTTGTAAATATGATTAAAAATAACGTCAATAATTATTTAAATAACTTACATATGTTTTGCTAGATCTTTCATCAACAAACTGTCCAGTTTCTTTTCGTATATGGGTTTGTTGAAAGACCTCATCAATATGCACTGAGCGACCAAATTCTTTTGCTTGCAAATAATACATTGATGCAAAATAAATTTATTTGTTGTAAAGTTGTAAAAATAGAAAAGAAAATTTTAATCCATACATACCATGCGCTTGGCATGATCATGAACTGTAATTGAGCCACCTGTATGAAGAGTCCCACCCTTTTCAGACGCTCGATTTAGTGAGGCTTGTGTAGACTTTACTCGAAACGCAGCTGAATTCCAATGTGCTACCAATTGGTTCCACACATCTTCTCCAACCCAAAATGGTCTTTTACCTGCTTTCCGAGCTTCATTAAACATATCAGACAATCTGTGAGAGGCTTTTGAGTGAAAATTTTTCTTTATTTTTTCCTCATCCTCAGGTCTCCATGCCACCTTACGCTACATGAAGAAAAAACCAATGAATTATAATAATTGTAACACATCAAAATGTCAAAGGAAATCAAATTCAAAACTTTTTCAACAATTAATAGAATTGATATCATGCAGGTAAAGCAATAAACAAATATAATATAAGGATACAAATAAATAAATTAAACCAAACCAAAAACAATAACACAAGCATTTGAACTCAATTTTTTTTACAACCCATGTTAAAAGCAAATGTTTGTAACGAAACTATAATAACAAGTAAGTTCAAGTGTTTGTGAACATGTAAATTAAGCATCAAAGTTCCAAGTAAAGAAATGAGATGAACAATATATCACTCAGAAATTGGTACAATTTAGATGAACATATCATTGTTCACAAACAAGTAATTCATATGAATGTTCACAAACAAGAATTAAACAATAGCAATTTATACCTTAAAACGTTGGAAGAAGGCATCTTTATCACTATCTTCCATCGCTCCCCATGTAGGACATGGATGAAGAAAATGTTGCTTAATGGTCTGTGTGATAGCATGTGCAGCAATAAGGGATGGTTCAAACCTAAATACAAAAAAAAAGTTAGCAAAATTAAAAAGATAGTGAATGATGAAAAATAAATTATAATTTATTCTTACCCTGTCCCAATAGGTTCAATTACTGGGCGATCATTGGGTGGGGGGTCTTCTGCTCCCAAGTCTAAATCATCTCCATTTATAGATGTAGAAGATGATGGAACCCTTGTAGCAGTTGAGGATGGTGTGACTGCAATAAATGGAGATGGTGATCGTGTGGGTTCAACAACTAGTGAAGGTGCTTGTGTGGGTGCAACAAATGAAGTTGGTGAACGAGTGGTTGTAGCAACTGGGGATGGTGTGGTTGCAGCAATAGACGATGGTGCATGTGTGGGTGCAACAAATGGAGATGGTGATTGGGTGGGTTGAATAACTGGGGATGGTGTGGGTGCAGCAATTGAGGAAGGTGATGGTGATGGTGATGGAGATGGTAAGTTTGATGGGGTTTGAGTAGATGATCCGGGGGTATTTGTTCCTGGAAATAATTTAATTACATAACGTGACTTCTTCGACTTTCCTTTCTCCTTTCCCTTATTACCAAGAGAGGAACCTTCTCCTGTCATATCTATATAGGAGAAATAATATTGTGAATAATAAATCAAAATTAACATGTATAAATATAATGGGATAAATCAAAATTAACATGTATAAATAATATTATGATTAAGTAATTCAAATGCATCATAAAAATCAAAATTAACATGTATAAATAATATTATTAAGTGATTCAAATGCATCATAAAAAGTAAAAACAGAGAACTAAATAGAGGGATAAAACCAATATAATCATTGTCATAAATGAATATAGTTGTACCTCAAAATACATAAAAAATAAAGTGTAAAATCCCGTCCTAGTAACTTACCAGATACAAGTATATGCACTGTACTTTACGAAGTAATACCATGGGCATGAATGGAAACAATATAACAGTAACCAATATTATATGTGTAAGAGAATCAAATTTAACTTAAAAAATATTAAATAAATTATATAAATTATTATATAATATAAGAAATATTTATAATTAATATAAATAGAAATATAAATTATTAATTGTTATATTAGTTTTTATTTGTTAAAAAAATTCAATCTTTAATTTGTTTCTTACGTTTAATAACATTATTTTTATTTTAGAAGGTATCAATTAAGTTTTATTTTATTAAAATATGTTAAATAAGTTATTTTTTAATTAAGTAAACATTGATTAAATTAATCTTATTTTTAAAAATTAAAGATTCAATTCAACTTTCTCAAAAATATATAGTAATATAACATTATAAGATCTTATCATATAAAAACTTATTATATAAGATCTTAAACAAGTATTATTTCTTAAAACATATCATTATTCATTGATCTTATTACATAAAAAATTATTATATAATATCTTAAATAAGTTATTTCTTTAAATATATCCTTATTTATCGGATGTTTAATAGTAATATAATTTGTTCAAATCTTTATTAATATGATTCGCTGAATATCTAATTAAAACTTACATCGTATAAAATCCAAATTAAAGAAAAAGGTAACAAACACATGTACCATGACAACTAATAAACTAAAAAACCATAAACAGAAAATGAAACACAAAAGGAAAGCAAATTATATATATATATATATATATATATATTAAAGAAGATGGATCTTTTTACTCTAAGAGTTACATAGACTTACTCCGTTCAATAACTCATTTTCTTTATCAAATTTCAATTATCTAACCGTTCAATTTAAAGTTCTTAATGCATAGATCAAATATGTAAATTGTTAGAAAATTTAAAAATCATTTGATACTTCGTTTCATTAATTTTAATCAATGTATAAAATTGATCTATGATTATCCGTCAATTTGAATTAATGAAATGAAGTATCAAATGATTTTCAAATTTTCTAAAAATTTGCAGATTTGATCTATGCATTAAGATTTTTAAATTGAACAGTTTGATCGTTAATAATAATTAAAAATTATTTATTTATTTAGGTTATCACATACCATTATACATTTCATGTCTTTAAATCTTTTAATAAAAAGTTAAATTAATAACTAAAAATTATTTATTTATTTCTTAAGAATTGAGGGTATATAATTATCCATTATTTTGGAGACAAAAATTAGTTACAAGATGACGTATATATATTTCCCTTTATCTATTACTATATACATAATCAAACAACTATATATTTAACTATTTTTCTTCCATTCATTTTCTCAGTCTCTCTGTCTTTGTCTCTATATATATAGACAAACAGGTTATACTAATACTGATACCGGGTGTAACTTTTATTAAGTATTATACATCACTCGATAATTAATTATTATATTATGAATAATAATAATATATATATTTAATTAATCTTTATTTATATACTTACTTTTATAATTAACAATCTACTTATTTCTAATTTTTATATATAGATTCATTGAATTTTTAAATACTCATATATTTATACTCGTTACCTATATTTTACTGATTTACTACTTAAATATAAAATTCATAAATCAATAAAATGCAAATTTAAAAAATTACTACAACTTGGAGAGATATTTTTTTAAATCAATCAAGATTAGGAACAAAAATAATTATTTAGTGTAATTATTTTAAATATAATGTTTTAATTTTTAAATAAAGAACATTTAATCTAGCTAGGAAAAATTACATTGACCCCTACTTGCAGTTTTTCTAAATGACGTTGTATATATATATTCTCAAATTTTTAAGAAAGTATTAATTTTCTTATTTATTTATTTAATAGTGGCACATACAATTACTACTTATATAAGATAATACTATTTATATACTATATATTAAGAGAAAATAAATTATTAATACAAATATCAATAGATTTGATCTCTTATTTCATTTCAACTTTTGAAATATATATATATAT